CGGTTCGTCGTTGAATTGTTTGTAGTTATCATTATAAATATACTTGTTCGCTCCAGGCGGTACTGTTCACTTGTGACCAGTGTGAGAACCCCCCCCCTCTCAGTCGCATCTTTTTACGTTCTCCGATTATACTACTCACAAATGTGATTGATACCTCACTTCTCACTGCTCACTCGAAAATAAACGGGTAGAAACCATCGACTGGTAATGTACACACATTAAAATATACAGAGGTGTACGAGGAAACAAACAAAAACACCACTGTTGTTCATTTTTCTCTTGCTAATTGTCTTCTCTAGAACGCTCTCACATGTACCCGACTACTTCCTTTTTATAGTCCTTTCATTGTTGCAATGGTACCATGCTTGTTTGCAATTCATTGATGAACATATCATCCGAGCTCAGCAGTCATGTCCATTCATCGGTCCCTCCACGGTTTTAACCCTCGTTTATAAGGCAGATGTGGACGGTGGACCGTCTACTGTCCCACGAACGTGCAAAATTGTCAGCTGTAGGAGTGTAAAGTGCGTCTAAGAACTTCCGATCCAATTAGGATCAAACGTTGTATTCACTTGATGCTAATGAGGTTCGCTCTTGATCGGCTCAGTACCACAGCTGTACTAGTTTGGGAGTGATATGGTTTGCTACTTCAAAACCGGAGCCTTAGACTGCCGGTTTTCACGAGTGAACAGTACATCCTCATGAAGCCTTTGGTCGTTCATCATCATACAATGGTGTGTAATAAATCATAAAAAATTAAATTCCAGTCACTTTCAGACCCCTCAGTGAAATTCGGATACATTGTTTTTTATCTACGGATTCTAGCCGAGATGTTCTCATTCAATCAGGTCTTCCATGTGAGTATTTGAGATTTATGCGATAAAATGAATTTTAGAAGGAGACGGCCAAAAAAATCATCACTTATTTATTTCAGCACTCACAATGTAGCCTTCATTAGACCAAAACTGTTGCAAAATAAGATGCTCGTGAGTGTTTGGCGAAGAGATATCACCTTACATGTACTGGTGCAGCATCTTTCTTTTAATCCTAAATGGTCCATACAATTTCAAGAGAGTAATGTCATTGGAGGAATGAATACTCCTAGCTTCTAACTGATGGGAGCTGCTTTCTTTTGTCCTGGTTAAAGCAAAGTTGCCCGAAACTAATATTTTCTCTCCCTTATTCAGGGAGCTGGATCATGCCATGTTACGAAGATTGGAGAAACGCATTCTGGTGGATCTTCCAAACAAAGAAGCCAGGCGTCGAATGTTCGAGACATTTCTACCTCCGATGATTGGTTCACCCCAGACCGGTGGTTTGCAACTCAAATGTCACATTGATTATGATCAAGCGGCTGAGGTAAGTGACCCTATTGGTGGGATCGGGGTTTGATTTCGACTGTGAAACTCGCTGTATGCCAGTTTCGTAAATCGTTGTTTTGTTTAATAATAAAGTTGTTGATGTCAATCTCATTTTGGACAAAATTGTACTGGTAAATGTACTTTATTTGACGGGTGAATTGCCCAAAAGACTCAATGTAAAAGAGAATTTCCAACTTTCCCCATGCAACACAATCCTTTCTGAATTAGGACATCATTAATTTCACACTCCATGCTAACGGTGGAGTCAAATTCCTCCCAGGGAATAGAGTCAAAGTCAGTCTTACTATGGGCATTACTTAGAAGCAGATGCTTTTCTTGTCCTTTGGAGTGTTAACACGAATTGCACTGTGACAACGATGAACAAAATTCCATATGATGCATTCGGTCGTGTTTTGTGTGCTCACGGATGTTGGAATGCAATAGGTCCTAATGATTCTTCAAGTTTTAACTTGAAAGAATCATTCATCTTGGCACAAACAACATAAGACGGTAAGGAATTCCAGGCAGTGCACACTGATGGCAAACGTATGACGTCGAGAGTCCAGTCGAGAATTTTGGAGTACTAACTTGAATGGATGTCCCCCTAGATGAACGTTTGATGACAACGTCAAACGTCGACGACAAGGGTGGCTTGGGTTGTGTAATATTTGGTACACTAAAATCAAGTCTCCTCGAATCCGACGATACTGAGCAGCTTATAGACCCAATGACTGCAGTCTCCCCATGTATGAATCTTAATAGAGTCCTTTGACCATATTCGCGGCGAACCTTTGTGGACGCTTTAAAATCTTATAATCACATTGTAACCACGGATTCCAAGCTTGTATAGCATACTCAATATGCTACCGGATGAATACTGACAGCAGACGTGAGAATAAAGATGGTTCAAGACGACCGAAAACACGTTTAGGTAGACCGACATGTTTGAGTGCTGTTCATGACGCCCTGCAAATTTATAGAACAGCTCAGGTCTTCTTAGACTATATCACCCAAGTCCTTCTCTGTTGATGCATGAGGCAGTAATTCGTTTCCAAGGAAATAAAGAAACTGCTCATGGTGGTGAAGCAAAAGCACCCTGCACTTGGAGATGTTGAATTGGATGTCGTTCTCAATAGACCATTTGTGAGCTGCATTCAGTGTTTTTTTGGAGTTCCAGTGAACCCCCAATTTCTGTCAGTGTCTTCCAGATTTTTACGTCGTCTAAAAACAATAATGTTTGTGGTCCTAAGACATTCAGTAGGTCGTTTATGAACAAGAGAAAAAGTCTTGGACCAAGCACAGAACCCTGGGGGACTCCGCGGGAAACGGCGATAGGGGAGGGCAGTGAATTACAGACTCGAACAGATATGATCCGTTTTTGGAGAAACGCAGCAATCCAATCAATCGCGAGGTCTCTGATACCAAAATTATACAGTTTACGGAGCAGTATTTCGTGGTTCACCTAATCGAACGCTTTGGAGAAGATCAGGTAAACCACATCAACTGCATCCCGTTTGTCTACTGCTTTTTTATATTAATCGTGGACCAGGAGCAGATTGGTGGTAAATGATCTCTTTTGACGGAATCCATTCTGAGCTGGGGAAAGCAGGTCGTATTTCTCTAAGTGTACCTTCAAGAAATCCGCTGCGATGGATTCCATGATTTTAGATAAAACGGGTAGGAGTGTCACCGGGCGATAGTTGGCGGAATCATTACGACAGCCGCCTTTGTCCATAGGAGAAATTACACCTTGTTTCCACGACTGGGGCAACACGGTTGCATCAGACATCTTTTGGAAAAGAAAATCTAGCGGCTCAGATATGTGATACCCTAATACAATAAGCGGTTGGGGATGTAGATTGTCTCCACCTGGATTCCTTGGCTTAGAGCATGCCGATGACATCGACTTGCTGTGTGACAACACATGGGCAGTCCAAAACGCTTTGAACCGCTTGGCGATCGAGGAATCCAGGTATGGTATGTGCTTTGCACTATCAGCGTGCAAAGTGCTTGTTCAAGACTGGCAAGAGCCTGTACCTGCACTCACTTTCTGNTCAGTTTGAAGTAATTGACAGCTTTAAGTACCTCATTTAGCTTGATCGCAGTTGGTGTTGATGTTAGAGAGAAGACCACATCACCAATAGAGAAAGCTAGAGCAACTTATGCCAACCGGTGACATCTGTGGCGCTGCCATGACATCCGACTGACCCATAATGGAAGTTTTTACATAGCCGATGTTCGTAGCGTTCTACTTTACGGTTGCGAGATCTGGCCCCTCCGCGTTCTGGATTCTAGTCGACTTTCTGTATTCGACCACAAATATCTCTGAAGCATAGCTGGTTATCTACAATTTTCCATTTTAAAAATTTCGCCTTCTTTACACACTGTTATGATTGTTGTGGCGTTGTCATCATGCCTTTCTTTATATATATATATATATATATATATATATATATATATATATATATATAG